GTTTCCGTGTGTAATGTTGGATTATTGACTGCGATAACAGTCAGTTTAAGCGGCTTACCCCTGACGCGCACAGTGGCAATCATGGCTGAGAGTGGTTTCCAAGAAATCGTGGGATTGTTAGCCCAGTCTTTCACAGTGATTACTACTCGGCGCAAACCGAAGTTGTCAGTTGATCTGTTCTGGTATGACCGGTAGTGTGCCACTTTGGTATGTTTATTTGTCTTGTACCATAGGCAGTCGGACCACAGCAGATGTCTACTTTGTAGTCGTGTAATGACCGCATTGTAATGCACTGGCTTCCTATGTCTTGCACTGTTTTGACATTCCAGCAAGCTACGGGGATGCTGGATCTGGTGTACAGATGGTTAAAGTTCTCAGCTTGCTCATTTGTCACCCCAGCCACTGGTAGAGCGCAGGGTGCGTGGCATCCCGGGAACATCGTAGCATGAACGTGATGTGGCACTACAAGAATATCCATTAAGAAACTTGAAATTGAGACACTAAATTACGTTCTCAGCGTCGCTCAGCTTTTGTTCGAGGGTGCACCGCTAACCCTTACACAATCAAGTGCTGTGAAACGGATTTGAGACATTGAACGCTCTTCTGTCATCGGTATGGTTTTGGGAGTATCCTAAACCCAGGTTTCTGTCAAAGATTAGTGTGTGTGGTTGTGTACTATTTCCGATCAAGCTTAGCTCACCAAAGGTCCGTTACATTGCTGTCGTTTTTTGCTTCTAATGGCTGCCAGAATCTATTCATCTTTACAAAGTTTCAATTAGAACAGGTTTATGACTTAACCTCTCACCTTAGCGGAACATTCTGTTTCTTCACTTGAAATCCTAGGACTAGATTTGCCGGTTTCCATCAAATAAAGGATTCTTATTAGCATAACCCTTTAAATTATTCTTCAGAGTTTAGTTGTACCCAATGACTGGCTTCACCTGTTCCAAATTCTATAGTTACTTCGGTTACTTTTCCCCAGGTCCGAATGGCGGCATCCCGAGCCACACGTACATTCTTTGAGGTGGATCCCCCTCCAGGACACCAGGTGGAAGAGGTGTATCCTATCTTGCTTCCACCTATGTGCCTGAATCGATACTACGTGGCCGAAGGTGTGCGAATCTACAGCCAGGACACTTGGTGTCGTGTGACTAGAGGAGAAGGTCGAAAATTACTCGGCATTTATTTGGAACCTGCGTTGGATTACTACATACTGCAAACAGATGCGGATAACCATGCAGTAAGTTTCGTTTATTCTCGCAATTTTGCTTTCTGGCGGTTTATGGTACTGATTGATTGAAACTGACCGTCCTTCTTCACGCACATTCCTCATTAGAGAGAAACTCGAGTTGACTGGAATATGTATTCACTTTAAACAGTTAATAATCCATAGGTGTTCCAGATCATTTCAAAAAATTTGGGCGTTGTGCTCATGGTAACA